GCCGATTGATAATAAATAAGATCGAGGTTACATCATTGCACGGGGGGTCGTTTGACAACAAATTGCCTAACAGAAAGAAAGAAGCCTAAACCCAAGACAAATGGAAAACCTACTCTCCGTGGCTGTTTTAATATATTTTCTCATAGTGCATTAAGGGCTGCATCTATCCAGAAACAAATTTATGCCCATCTATCCCTATTACATGGGCTCTCTTTAACAACCAGTACAAACTCTCCATAGCTGTCTCCATCTGAACTCTCTGCATATGGATTCTATAAAAAAATCAATGGCTATTCTGTTGGAATTGTTATTGTCGGGATCTTGGAGAAAGCTGTCATATGGATAGCGAATAGAGACATTTTGACTTTTTCAGCAATGCCGTTTTGCAACTAACAAAAGATCGAAGGCTAGTTTTGCAGCAAGAAGGTAGAGAAGTAAATGTTGCGGATCCCAGCAAGTCCATTGCTTCAACTTCAATTCTCGACAATGGCAATTTCATGCTTTACAATCCATCTAAGAGGATCTCGTGGCAGAGTTTTGATTAGACACTCTTTTCCCCAGCCAACGCCTTCCAAATGCAGAAGAGATTTTCTCAACTGCTTCAGCAACGAACCTTGCCAAAGGAATTTTCTGTCTAAAGATGCAAACTGTGGTAACCTGGTGCTATACCCTATACTCTAAATGCGTATGATTATGGCTACTATGCATGAGTTACAAATGAAACAGGCAATAATGTATCATTGAATCTTGATAACAATGGCCGTCTTTATTTGTTCAATTGAAGCTCTATTTTAAATAATCTTACGATAGGAAAGAACTATCTAGCTCATGAGAATCAATGTGGATGGTATTTTTCTACTAATATTATCGTTCGCTGGAGCTTAGAGGTTACTGGACTAAAGAATGGTCACCCACAGAAGATAAATGTTCCCTAAAGGGTTTATGTGGGTTGAATGGTATTTGTATTCAGATGGATAAATTTTTAGTGAGTGTCTGCTTACACTAGTTTGGGCAATTGGAGTTCAGGTCGTTCAAGGAATGTTGTCATAGAAGGGTGTAGAGCTAAAGATTAAAATGCTAGTTATGAAATCTGATCATTTTATAACACGGTGTGGGGAGACACTGAATATGATGTTTTCGAAGGAATCACTAAAGAAGATTGTGGAAAAGCCTGTCGAGGCGACTGTAACAGCTATGCAGTACTCTTTCTAAATGGAAACTGCAGAAAGCAGAGGCTTCCATTGAGATGAGGAAGAAGATTGAAGAGTGATTCCAGCGTTACTCTCATCAAGGTAAGTACAACTACACCCTCAACTCAAGGAGCTTCGGGTAACTCTGGCACAAAAAATCAAGAAAGAGATTAGCGTAGACATCCTGATTGTCAGAATTTCACTCGCTACTTTTGCAACCTTAATCCTGGCAATTTCCAGAGTTTACGTCCACAAGAATAATGCAAGGAGATATATTAAGGTTTCCAACTCCAAGAACGAAAATGTTGAACTGATTAAGGATGTTGGTTTACTAGCATTTACATATGGAGAACCTATGCAAGCAAAATATGATTTCAAAGAAAAGCTCGGTCGAGGAGCATCTGGCACAGTTTACAAAGGGATGTTAATGAACAATGGAAATGTCATGGCCATGAAGAGGCTCAAGAAAGAAATGGCCAAAGGAGAAAATGAATTCCAGACTGAGAGGAAGGTGATGGTAAAACAAATCATTGTAATCTAAGCTACTTCTTGTTTACTGCCTTGAAGGATCTAATTCACTTCTAGTAAATAAATAAATGAGCATTGGATCACTTGCAGATATAATTTTCATTCCTGAAAATCGATGACGTTGGAAAGAAAGAATTCGAATTGCTAGTGATATTGCAAGAGGCATCCTTTATTTGCACAAGGAGTGTGAAACACAAATCATTCACTACGATATAAAACCTCAAAATAAACTCATGGATGAGCATAGGTGTGCAAAAATTGCCGACCTTGGACTGGCAAAACTCTTAACGAAAGATCAGACAAACACCTATACGGAATAAAGAACTTGAGGTTATGTAGCTCAAGAGTGGCAAAAAAAATTTTGCTCCAACAGTTAAGCAGATGTTTACATATTTGGAATTGTACTACCAGAGATCATATGTGACCAAAGAAGTGTTGATCAGAGCCTCTCTAAGGATGAAGCTATTCTTGAAGAATGGGTTTATGACTTTTTCAAGGCATGGCAGCTAAGTAAACTCGTGGAAAATGAGGATGAGGAGGCTGACAAGAGAAAATTGGACAGAATGATTGTATTTGGTGCATCTAAAATGAACAATGTTCTAAAATGCACCCTTGATGCTTTTTCAAAACGCCTTACATATGTGGTATGCACATGATAATGCGATCAACCTATATCGTTGATCGAATATGCACGCTTAAACTACAAAATGCGCATGCAATTGTGTTAAATATTGTGTCAAAATTAGCCTAGCAAAGCCAACCCATTTTTATAACTTTAAAAAAAAAAAAAAAANAATTAAAATAATATTAAAATCGAAAAACACAAAATATGCATATGCTTCGCTTGAGCACGCATATATTTGCAATGCTTGATGCTCGACAATAACGGATTGCCCTACATTATGCATTTTAGAACCTTGAAGATGAACCATCTCTCCGTCCATTGGTGAAGAAAATTCTGCTCGAAGCGATTAGACACCACGGTACCTCAAGTCCTTCTCTCCCAAGTACTCTTTAGCTAGTGTATTCAACTTTTTCACTCTGTTTTATCTTTGTGCCTTTGTGCATGTAACTTTAGTGTTAAAATAAATTATGCAGGCAGGCTACTGATTGATTCATGGGGTTAAGTTATGAAATGAATCAGAAGTTCGAATCAATTAGAATATAATTGTTGAAATTAACACTTCTTCGACATGACTTCTATTTTCTTGGATGTTAAATATAACTGTCACATAACTTATGCTTCATTTGACTTTAAAAATTCACTTACGATCAATATTAAATGGATTTACTGATAATTATTATCATGTAGTTTTTAATATTTTGTTAGATACTCATTTTTTTCAAACTTATTTTCAATTACACGATATCTCAATAAAATAATTATACTCTTTTTTTTTTCTTTTTTCTTTTTTCTTTTTTTCTTTTTTTTTTATTCAAAAAATCAAGTTTTACAAAATCTATTTTGAAAAAAGAGCTCGAAATGGTCGAGAGACTTCTGAAAATTCAAGTTCTTCTAGATGCAGCTAATTGTGTTGAATTGAAACATGGCCCATAAGTTGGATGTACCATGGAAGATACGTTTCTCCGCTGAGAATTCCATCCCAAGACCGATGAATTGACTTTTTGGGTTCCCAATTATTGTAATTGATACTAATTACTTTAAATTAATCTATTTTCCAATTTGATTGATTAGACAATAGTGTTTTTTTTTTTTTTTTTTTTCAAATTGACTATACTCTGTTTTGATATAAATTCTTTAATATTTATTTTCATGCATTCTTTTATTAAAATAATTTTACAAGTAAATTGAAAATTTTTTACTTTTCAATAATACGTTCTTCAAAAATATCACTTTTCAAAAAATCTATTATCATCAGATATGCCCGACCACATTTCACTTTATCGCTTTGAGTCTGCAAGAATTTCTTGCCACTTTGTTTGATTCATTATTCTACTATTGAACCAATATCTCCTTGTAATTGTACCAACATTTTTTATTAATCCAGTGACGTGGAAAGATTAGACTCCAATCAAACGCTAAATCCAGATTAGACAAGAGTAAGTATTGAATAACTGATTATTTTATATCTTAAGCTTGATTAGACAGGAGTGCATTGAATATCGGCCAACTTGACTTGGTCAAGAAAAGCTCCCAGAGCAATAAGGTTTTGTTTGAACATGTCATCGACTTTCTTCCGTGTGATGACTGCAAGACCCGTATTTGGTTTGAATTAAAATCAAATTTAGCCCCTGTTTGGCCCCCATTATGGGGAAAAATTAATGTGTGGAATAGTATTTTTTGAAAAATTAGTGATTGAAAAAGAAGGAAAAATTTTCAATTTACGTGTAATATTATTTTATAGAAAATTGTGAGGTTGAAAATAGGAGAGAAAAATGAAATGTAATGTAATAAAAATTAATAGGGCTCAAACGTGGGCTAAGCACATTCATTAAATTAATTTTTTTTTTTCAAACTCATTTTAAACTATACATTCATATAATAAAATATCATATGTAAATCCAAAATGTTTTTCCAACTTTTTAATCACATGTATTCTTAAAAAGAAAACCACTCCAAAACTTATTTTCCTAATAAAACTCAATAAAATGTATGTCAAACAGAGGGCTAAAATTTCAAGTCAAACTCAATAATTAATTTTAATCAACTTTTATTAAAATTTACTAAAAATTTGATTTTAATCTATTAAGCATCTATGTACACTTTGCTGAAACAAACAGAGCTTAAGCATTGACTCCAACGAGTCAATAGTGGCCCTGAGAGTATCGATTTTCTTTAAATAGCACACTTCCTCAATGAAACACAGTTGCCATATCCCAAGAAAAATGAGAAGCCTATTTTCCATGGCTGCCTTTCCCTGTTTTCTCGTTCTTTCTGCGTTAATGGCATCATCAGCCCAGCCACAAAGATATTCCAATATTACCCTCGGCTCTTCGTTAAATCCCAGTACAAATTCATCGTGGTTGTCACCCTCTGGACTCTATGCCTTTGGATTCTACAAGCTAAACAATGGCTACGCTGTCGGAATTTTTCTTGCTGGGATTCCAGAAAAGACTGTAGTGTGGACAGCAAACAGGGATGATCCCCT